TGTCAGGACCCATCCCCTCATCAGGGCATAGCCAGAGAGCCTTATACAAGGATCAACCAGTCCCTGCAACTTCCAGTGGCTTACGTTGTACAAAGGCCATCCACCCGCTCTTGCTCCTTTTCCTGCCATAATGTTGAATAACTCAAACAACCAAAATAATGGAAAACACCAAGTTTCTGCACCAAAGTAGCCATGATGGATAAGGCAAGCATCCCTGCTGCTTTTAACAACTCAGTGGCTTCTAAAATAGTGGAGTCTTCTGGAAATGATGGTTTGGGTAAAAACAAACAAATATCCTTTTGCAATCATCTTTTTTTTTTTTTTCAATGTAAGTACCTGTGTTAATCCCACCAATCAAGAATAAGACCGCTACCACAGTTTAAAGCCAAATTTGAAGCAAGCTTTAATTAAATACTGGCCAGGTGGATGGGCTCTGGCTAGGTCCTTCTCTGGTTTCCCAGGGAAAAAAAAGTGGCCCTGAATCAAGTTTTGTAGCTGCTTAAGTATCTCCCATCAGGTCCAATTAGAGGCAAGCATACATCCTGATGTTCCTCTGCCCCACATCCAATCTGGGGCAAACATACATACTGACATATTTCCTGCCTGTGAACCTCCTGCCCATATGAGATCGAGCATGGATGGGTACAGATGGGTCAAGCAAACTTGTTTAGGGGAGTGAAAGGATGTGGCTTGTTATCTCCCGTAAACAATAGCCACCAGCATTTCAGAAACTGTCTGTCTTTGGGCAAGGGGCTTGCAGATCAGAGGCATTTTTATTTCATAGGTCTCTGTGGCATAGTAATTAAAACTTAAAATGTAACTTTGGCTCTCACACCTGCTGGACTGGCAACATACGTTTTGAGGCTAAAGCTTTCTCGCTTCTGTCTCCAGACATTGGTGTATAATCAAAATATATTGCATGAAAAGAAAGTTTTAAATACAAGGAAAAAAATAAATGACTTGTGCAAAACTGTATGTATTTTGCACGCTGTAATATCCTTCGCAGAGCACGCTCAGACTTTCTGATACACAATAAATTGTGATACAAACCTGAAGAAAGCTGGAACAGCCTTTCACTGAGGCACAGAGAACTTTAGAACAACACTTACTAGCAGCCCATGTGGTTTGCATTTCCTGGCAGGAACGGCTAAGGCTAGATTAACAGCCAAAAGGCAGTCACACTATTTTCCTTAAAACACATGGCACATGGGGGTAAGGAGGGTGGGGGGAACACTATAAGCCTGCCGGCCCTCCACTCTACATTTCCAGCGCTTTTTGTTCAGAATAACTTAGGAGTAGCCAGCCAGACTTTACACCACCCTCAGTGGAAATGACAGGAACTGACTGGCTCATAACTGATAGACCAGAAACAGCCACAACAAGCATGGGGTTCTTAGAAGGAAATTCAGGGACACAAAGAAACAGACCATCGCTCCAATGCAAGTGTCTCAGCAAGGTAAAACTTTCCTCTTGATCAAGAGGGCCCGCTCCGAAGGGCAAGCACTTGAAGACAGGAAGCGTACTGTGTGTTTTATTCCAACACAGGTACTGTCTTTTCCCCACTGCTTGGGTCGGACCTGGCTGTCTTTTGAGATTGGTTAGTATTAGAAGATTCAGCACAAAGGAAATGAAGGAGGAAGTTGAGGGAGGGTGTCACTGCTTGTGGACATCAATGAGGACTTTGTGTGAACAAAGGTTTCCTTTTTTTGGTGGGGGGAGGTGTGAATCTTAAAATATTGGATAAAAGTCTTTCAAGGTGGGAGATAAAAAGACTACAAGTTTTATGGTACCTGATAGATTTGTATTAATATTTCTTTTTTTTCTTTCTTTTTTTCTTCTTTTTGGTTTTTCGACACAGAGCTTCTCTGTGTAGTTTTTGGTCCCTGTCCTGGATCTTGCTCTGTAGCCCAGGCTGGCCTCAAACTCACAGAGATCTGCCTGGCTCTGCCTCCTGAATGCTGGGATTAAAGGCATGAGCCTCCGCTGCCTGGTGTATTAATGTTTCTTAAAGGGAAATCTGGGTTCTTGATAGAAGCCAGACATTTCAAAATGTCTAATTTTCAGAGGTTTCACTGTGGACAGTGTGATGCACAGTGTAGTTGACTCATACTGACAAATGTGTCCTGGGTCATCTTCATGTTCTTTCTGCTGTTATCCCACGTTTCCCTGGACTCTGCATGAACTAGACAACTCAGCGATTATTCTGGGCTCCATATGCTCCTCGGAGTTCACATGGATCTCATCGTTAAGGTGTTGCAGGGATTTAAATCTAGTTAAGGATCTAGAAGCAGGGAGGTAGAGTGGGTCTTGAGAATCTGTACTGTACTAAAGACCACCTGCCTCAAGGAGGCTCTTAGCTTTTGGATGAAAAAATAAATAAATAAAAGGAAGACATGACTGCTCCTCAGGTGTTGAGGTTTTTATTATAGATATAAGGGATGAGCATAGGCAGAGGCATCTGGAATGTTTCAAACTAACACAGCCAGCAGACTGGACTGGGCCATGTGAGGAGAGTTGGGAGGGGAGAGGAGAAAGCCAAGAGACCTGGGTTATACAGGAAGAGAAGCTGGGGGAAAGGCGAGCCCAATCTAACCCTTGTACTGGAGAGTTCAGGGTAGGGGGCAGGGTATGCCAGGTACTAGATGCTGAGAGACTGGTGGACAGCATCCACTTTTATATGTTAATAGCCTCCTCAGTTAGCTATTTGCCCCAGGTTTGAGACCTAACAACTTTTCCAGGTGAACAGGTTGATCCCACCAGGTAATCACAAGGTGAGAAGTGGCTGCTGGGAAGGACACTGTGTCCCAGCTTCAAGCGTCTCCCTAAAGCCCGTCCCACTTACAGGATCCTATCACCTCGCAGACAGTAAGCATGCTGTAACAGTATGTGCTGCTAGTCTGGGACTTCCACGTGTGTTACTGTAGTTCCCTCACAGGATGAGGCCTGGCAGATGAGGCCCTCCCTTGGAGCACACTCACTGGCAGATCACTTGCAGGGCACTGAGCTGGGAACTTAAGTCCTGGGCATGTTCTTTCCTTACAGCACTGTGTCCAGAACTGTGGAGCCACTGACTGATGTCACTATACTCGTTAGTTTCAAAAAGTTCAAAAACATCATGTCGGAATTTCTTAGAGGCTGCCTGGCTAACCAGTTGTTTGAGAATACCCAGTGCACATTCTGCATGGATCTCTCCACAGCCCTTTCCAAAGACCAAAGTCAGTGAGTGCTCTAGCTGGCTGGAAGCTCCACTGAGAAATCAACTGATGTAACAAGACTGGAGTCTCTTGGACAGAACTGAAAAGACCTCTAGGTTTCTTTATGCCATGCCTGCTCTTGGGTAGGTTCTCTGAAAGCAGGCACCCCAGCACCCCAGTACCGTAGTACCCCAGCACCCCAGCACCCCAGCCAGGAAGTAGACTGGTACTGATAAGACCAAAAGTTTTGGTCACATGCCTGAACTAGAACCAATCTTCTGAAGGGCTGTACCAGGCCCTCTTGTTCTACCTAAGAATCAAGTTTTACACACACACACACACACACACACACACACACACACACACGCACGCACGCACACACACACGCACGCACGCACACACGCACGCACGCACGCACGCACGCACGCACGCACACACACACGCACGCACGCATGCACACACACGCACGCACGCACGCACGATCATCTGGCATCCAAGCAAGGAAAAGGACATACAAAGACAACAACTGCATACCTTCCCAAGCCATAAATGTAATGTGATATATCATACGATGGAACATTACTAAGCCATAAAAAGTGAAATACTGATGCATACTCCAACACCAATAAACTACCAATTCATGACATTAAATGAAAAATCCAAAGTAAACAAATCCAGAAAAAAAAAAAGTAGGTTAATGGTTGCCAGCATGGCAAGATAGAGAGAATAAGGAGTTTAAGTGTGAGTCTTCTCTGGAGGTGATAAAAAAGGCTCTAGAATTAGTGTGAATATACTAGAGGTCACTAGTGTGTATTTTAAAGGGATGAATATTATAGTCTATGAATTAGAAATTACAGTAATTTTTTTTTCAAGGCAGTAAATGTGACCTAGACCAGTGGTTCTCAACCTTAAGGTCACAACTCCTTTGGGGGTTGAATAACCCTTTCACAGAGGTCTCATATCAGATATCCTGTGTGTCGGCTATTTATATTATGATTCGTAACAGGAGCAAAATTACAGTTATGAAGTAGCAACAAAAGTAATTTTATGGTTTGGGGTCACCACAATGTGAGGAAGTGTATTAGAGGGCTGCGGCGTTAGGAAGGTTGAGAACCTGTTGTTGAGACCAGATGGAAGCAGGTCTCCAAGGAGTTTGTCTACCAACTGGGCTCATGGAAGTTCTGGCTCCATGAATGTTAAGTGGCAGGTCACCCCAACTCCTCAAGGTTTGTTCTTTAGCCAGTATTCTGTTGCTCTCCAGTCCTTGGGGAATTTGGAAAGTTCTAGCAGGATTAAGGGAAGCGCAGATAACTTTCTGCAGAATTCAGGGGTCTCAGGTCACAGAGCTGTGAATTGCTAAGAGGAAATAGGAGGCTAACTTCTCACGTGTGTTCAACTACAGTTATTTCAGTATATCTGAGGGTTCATCAAACTGCCAACTGAAGTTACTATAACTGCACTCCATGTGTGCGTTGTGATAACTGTGATATTTGCATTGCGTTGGGTATTGTAAGTAGGCTACAGTTGAACTGGAACACACAGGAGGACATACATAGGTCATATACAAATACTAGGTCAGCTTATATAAGACATTTGAGCACTCTGCATACAGGAAGGACTCTAGAACCAATCCTTCCACAGACATTGAGAGAACTATGCATCCAGCCTTCCATCCTTTCAAGGAATGTCTTCTAGAATATGGAAAGCAGTTGAAAACTCCCAGCTCTTCATTTCTGTGGACTCTGCGAGATTATCACAATAAACAAGTCTCACTAAACCTGACTTTTTTCCTCTGTTTATACGCAGGGTTTGATGGCTAGCTCTGCCTTCTGTTGGCTGTGGAATCATCAGCAAGTCCCTCTGCAGTTCAGTATCCATCCACCAAAGAGAGGCAACTACAACAGCTTCCCAAAAGAATCAGACGACGGGACGATCCCACATAAAATGCTGAGCACATTGCTTGGTATACAACTGGTGCTTCACAACATCTTTTCTTTACCAATTATATCCTAAAACAATCACAAACAGGTGGGTATATGTCTTTCTGGCTGGCAAAACGTTGGTGTGGTACTATAGCAATCACAGACTTTCAATATTTGAAAAATGTATGACTGAATCAATGTCCCCTTTAACTCACATCTCAGCCACACAAATCAAAGGTGGACAGTCTATGACAACATGATGAGCAGAAATGACCCCTAGTAAAAGACTTTCCATAAAACCCCCATGAACTAAAAATCAGTGTGGCTATAATCTGCCTTACTTTTTTTCTTTTCATTTTGAGACCCGGTCTCACACAGCCCAGGCTGGCCTCAAACTCACTATGTAGCCAAGGACGACCTTGAATTTATGACCCTTCTTCTCTCTCCAAAATTCTGGGATTAGGGAATGAGCTACCACACCCAGTTTATTTGGTACAGGGGAACAAATTCAGGGCTCGGTGGATGTGAGGCAAGTACTCCCCAACTGAGCTACATCCCAGCCTATGCGTTGCTTTTAAAGAACTACATGTTCCAAATCTCTGCTCTGGGACACTGATGACAAGATGTTTTTTTAATGCAGGCAGATGGATGATCATAACATAGAAAGCATTAAAGCAGAGAGAACAATCAGGCTAGAGGCCAGAAAACAGCCTGGAGTAAAGAATGACAATTCTTATGAAGCATACTAGTTAGGAGCTGGGACTGTGGGAGCAGATGCCTTGGGTTTGAATCAAGCTCAGCCAAGTATGATCTTGAGCAGACACTTGACCTCCTCGGGCCTCACTTTCCTTGTTTTCATAATGTAGAAAGGATTAGAGTTAATAAATGAGTAATGTTCCGAGCTATGCTTAGATCCCAAGTTCTAATAAACACTGACTGCTACTATGTTTATAGCAATTATTATTAATAATTCTTAAGATTTTTTCAGCCCTGTTTAACCCTTCTCTTATCTAACGGTCCTCTAACCTATCACGTAAAATGAGGTGAAGGGGAAGATTGTCAAGGAAACTCAAGCGATCCAGGCAAGAATTACTGAAGATGCTTGATTCACAGAACAAGTATGCAACTCTCGTTTTGCTGGTATAAAAAGAAAATTTTGAGGCTCTGAGGCCAGCTCTTTATTCCTCAAAGGAAGCAGTCACTGTAATGCTGCACTCGGAACCGTGTGGCTAGTTAGCACCTTCCCTCACCATTGGAGCCATGAAATCTATTACGTTCCCTTCGGAGGGCAGTTTAAGGAGAAATTGATACATTTGTACAGAACATAGTGGCCATGCTGGAAAGATTTTTCCTACATCTACACAATGATGACAAAATTGGACACGACTAAAAGGTTTGGGCAGCCTAGTTCTTGCAACAAAACCTAGTAACAGATGTCACGACACCCTTAAAATGCCTGATGTGTAGCAGGACACCAGTGTTCGCCCTTAAGTCACATTCTTAGGTGGGGGGGCCTTGAAATGTTTCTGATCAGTAATTTAGGTGTTTTAATAGAAGACCCCTTTCTCAAGATCTTATGTGGAACCTAATATATCAGGAAAATAATTGCTAGGCCACACAGTGTTTAAAAAAAGAAAAGAAAAGATGGTGATTTCATCTACCTGCAGTGATCCCAAAGCATTTTAAAGAAATCTGCACATGCCATGAGGTCATATGAGGCACCCAGATCCCCTATCCAGCCACAAGCCCAGGCATTAAGTTAGAGATCAGGAAAATCAGGACACTACTTGATGGAAGATTCATGAGATTATTATATTAAGAATGGTTACTCTCTAGCATGGTGTTTTTCAACCTTCCTAATGTTGTAAGCCTTTAAGTGCAGTTCCTCATGTCATGGTGACCCCAAACATAAAATTATTTTTGTTGCTAATTCAAAACTATAATTTTGCTACTGTTCTGAATTGTCATGTAAATATCTGGTATGCAGGATATCTAATATGTGACCCTTGTGAAAGGGTCATTTGACACACCCCTCCCCCAAAGGAGTCACAACCCACAGGTTGAGAACCACTGGTCTAAAGGGACCTTTTTTAATCATTAGCACATACCAAGTTCTAAACTGCACTAAACTAAAATATTGCTATTTTTTTCCTGCTAGTTAGTAAATGGGGGTTCTTGTGGAGTGTCAGCTGAGCTCTGGGTACATTAATGAAACTGCCTTTTCTCTTACATTGCAATTGTCATTTAAGTCAGCTGGCCACCTCACATGCTTCTAAGGTCTTTCTCCTCACAGTGGGAAGGAGGGCTGCTTTGTACCCTCTAAATGGCAAAGCAACACCTCGGTCTTCTACAATAGTATGCAGGCAACAAATCCCATACTGTACCAACTTACACTGCTGAATGTCCTTTGATGAGCAAAGAAATCATTTGAGAGGCGTGTTCTATACTGGCCCCTTTCCATAAAGGGCAGAGAAATCTAAGCTACACATCCAACCAGAGATCCCCTAAGCTGAAGGATTCTACTCATTCATGCAGTCAGTCACGTGATCAACATTTGTAAGGAAGCACCTTCTATATGTGAGAACTTCCACAGACTTCACAGGCCTCCCAGGACTCAAAGACTCAGTGATGAGACTCATTGCAGCCCCTGGACTATTTGTGTCCTCAGATATCAGGTTGTTCACATCATTGGGACATTGTCTTGCTTATCCCTTTCTCCAACTCTACTTAGGAATGCTCCCTCTCGCTCTCACCCTCCCCTTCTCTCTCTCTCTCTCTCTCTCTCTCTCTCTCTCTCTCTCTCTCTCTCTCTCTCTCTCTCTCTCTCTCTCTCTCTCTCTGTGTATGCACATGGGAAACCTGTTATTAACTACTTACCAAAGTTCCGTCCATGTGCTAAGTCCTAATGACCAGCTTGTGCTCACTTTCTGTTGCTGTGTTGTTTCGAACTCATGAGAATACAGGACATCATGGCAGAATGGGGGCTGTCCTCTTCCTAGTAGTTATAGAAAGATAAGCATGCTAAAACCCTCTCCAAAGGCACTGTTCCAGTAACCTAACTCCTTCCTAATAAGCCACACATCTTAAAGATTCTCTCACTCCCAAAACCATCAGAGGCTGGAAGCCAAGTCCTTGGTGCATTGGCCTTCTGGGGACATTCCAGATAAAAACTCCAGCACAATTAATAGGCAAAAAAAGGCTTGCCTTGTCAAGTCAGCTGCCACTCTGTGTGATCAGACACCCTACTCGCCACATTTTTCACCCTGCTACAATTATAGAGTTACTCATCTGCCTCTCCCAAAAGATTCAAATTCCTCCTGTGCCCATCTCGTCTGTTAAATAATAAATTTAGTAGGCTAATATTTTCCTATACTTATTTGAATTCAAAACGCTGAGGGCTATAATGATAGCATTAAAAGCCACTAGGGAGATAATAGCAGAATCATAAGCCACAAAAAATTCAATGGAAAAAAACCTAAAATGTGTGTATTATACTTGGTAAAGACAGCAAAATGACAGTAGGTTGGGTTAGAGAAATGAGCAGTCAACTAATTTGAGTTCTTCTGGCTTTAAGATTGCTGGAAAAATATAACTGGGGTTGAAGCTCATTTTGAGCCATCTCTTCAAAACCTAGTACCAGCCAAAAGCTACATATTAGGCTAAGTCTCTCCTGGCTTCTCTAATTTGTGTCCAGACAAATTGCAAACATCACACTATCCGGTGGTCACTGTGAGTCTGCTTTGAACAGGCTGATTGATTTTTATAATGTTCCAGGCAATTTCGAGTTGTCAGTAAGAACTAATTCTGTCTCGTTAGTGCCTTCACTCTTGGCAGCTCTGTGACCACTTACTGGCTTTTGTCTTCATGTTCATTTTCTTCTGCTAATTCTAAAGCTTTCCCCCCATCTCCAGCCACATCCAAAGGTCTGAAGCTATAATCAGAGATGCCCCACCTCCAGCACAATTACAGGTAAAAATATCAGCTCTTTTCATGGGCTCCAAAGTTGAACCCTAAAGTCCCCTGCCCTGTGAAACCTTCCTCCAACCAAACCCCATTAGGGCCCATAATGCTGTATTACTTAATCAATCCCGCAACTCCGTATCTGACGTCCTCCCTGAAGTTGATATTAAACCAACTTGTCAATTTGTAATTGCTGAGTGCCACACTCTGCTCCTCATGTTGTGCAGTTGGAAAGCCAAAGCTGGCACTGGCTCAACCTCTCCAGATGTATCTCCACGCCATCCAAAATAGGAAGATTGTGAACCTTTGCTCAAAAGGCTCAAGAGCCCTGGGGCAGGTGAGCCTTGGTCGTATGAGATGCCAGCTTGTACCTTTTATTGTGGCACATATTCTTAGAAGGACTTACAGACTCAGAAGTAAAGCCTTGCCATTAAGCAGACATAGACAATTACCCCATTTGTATACCACACATGCTTCTCAGACAGTAGACACTGCTGTGAGACATGTACTCAGTATAACGACTAATATATATCTTGCTAAATTGCAGAAATAAAATGCTCTTTTCCCCCCTTACTGAGATCTGTGTTTTACCAGGCTGGAATGGCAGGTCAGCAGGGTTACCAAGGTTACAAAGGGGCCCCCACACCCCACATGATCACTAGCAGCCAAGCATTACTCTTCAGATGGACTACTGAGATGAGCATGTGCTTCTGCCCATGAGGAACTGAGAGGTCAACTGGGGTCATAAAAGCTGAGACAGTGACATAAAAGAAATTTCAGAGTTCACAGGAGAGGTATCCACTGACTCTCCTGCAGGTCACTGTCGGGGTAAGTCCCACAGAGGAGACAGGAAAGCGCTAAGGAGAGAGGTGTGCCCAGATGGAGGAGGAGATTGGAAGAGGGGATCCACCCGAAATGCATGCATGCCTGCAGCACCCTTGAAAGCAGCATCACACAACCAAAGGAGGGCCTGGGGGTGGGGGGAAGGCAGGCAGAGAAAGAGTCTAGTTGTGATGCAGGCATCTGTGTTGGTTTTCTCATCTCTGGCAGGAAGCAACTTAAAGGAGACTGATTGATTTGGGCTCACAGTGTGAGAGAATACAGTCCATCAAGGCAGAAAAGACATGGTTCCCGGCAAGTCCATGGTGGGAGAGTATGTGCAACTTGCTTACCTCTAGCCAGGGAGAGAACCAAGGCTAGGCACATCCCCTGATCCCCAATAGCTCACCTCCTGAAGCCAGGCTCCACTTCCTAAAGGTTACCAAACCATGCCACCAGCTGGGGACCAAATGTTTAAATACATGAGTAGATGAAGAGACATTCCATGCTCAAGCCATAGCACTGCCATGTTGTTTTTGGAACTTAATCAAGATGACCAGAGCATTGTATCCAGTTTGAGACAACTCTGCACAAGCTTCTTCCCACCCTGGTCTCCTGATCTTGCTTCATACTTAGAGGATTTTTTTTTTCAAGAAAACTTCTTTCCCTGTCCCATTAAATTGTACATGCTACAGAGACACTTGCTCAAACGTGTTCATTGCTCAAATACGTGTAGTTCTCCCAGGATCGGGAGTAGCTCTCCCGCTGAGGCAGCCTGTGAGAGGCAGGACCAGTTTCTGGTGCCCAGGCCACTGGGGCCAGCTCTGCCATGACCCCTGGTGGTAACACGACTCCCAGACATCAACACAGATTCCAGCTGTGGTAGGACCACAGACCCAGACATGGCCCTCTGCTGCAGTTCAGGCCTGGATATCTGTCACCATGGCCTTGGGTAGCAGTGCAGGCCACTCAGTATGGCCCCCAATATTGCTCTTTTCATAATAGCCAGAAATTGGAAACAACCTAGATATCTGTCAGTGGATGAATGCATAAAGAATATGTGGTACATTTATACAATAAAATGTTACTCAGCCATTTAAAAATAAATAAAATCACCTGAGGCCATTTTGATGTCTGAGGGCCATGCTGCCACCAGGGCATACTGATCTGAGTGGCCTGAACTGCCACCCTAGGCCATGGTGATGTTTAGAACCAAGCTGCAGCCAAGGGTCATGTCTGGGTTCATGACCCAACTGCAGTAGAGTCTGTCATGATGTCCATGGCCTCTGATACCATTGAAAGCCATGAGGAGGCCTGGTGTCTGGGCCACCACCTAAGGCCATGTTGATATCTGAAGGCCACACTGTTGCCATGGCCATGCCAATCTGAGTGGCCTTGTGCTGCCACCCAGAACCGTGGTGACATCTGAGCCATGAGCTGATGCTGAGGGCCATGTCTGGGTCCATGGTCCTATTGCAGCTGGGGTCTGTGTTGATATCTGTGGCCTGTGTTATCACCGAAGGCTGTGCAGATGCCCATGGTCTGGATCACCACCAGAGACAAGATGATGTCCAAGGGCCATGCTGCTGCTGGGGTCAGACTGATCTCAGTGGCCTGTGCTGCTGGCCAAGACCATGCTGATATGTAACCCAAGCTGCAGCCAAGGGTCATGTGTGGGTCTGTGACCCTCTCACAGCTGGGGACTATGTTGATGTCCATGTCCTGTGTTACCCTTAAAGACTGTGCAGATGCCCGTGGTCTGTACTCCCATCTGAGGCCATAGGCATAGGAGGGCTGGCCCCAAGCCTCAATGGCCCCCAGAGAACTGTCCCCTCCCTCACCCCGTTGACAGTCACCACAACTTGAGAACTGGTCCCGCACATGGGAAAGTTGGCTCCAGCCCTCAACATGTATGCAGGAAAGCTGGCCCTGACCCTTTTCTGAGGTGGGCAGTCCTGGTATAGTCCTGGAATGATCAACTCAGTTACCACACAACCCCACATCCAGGGCTTTGAGTTGACTCATCTCAACATCTACCTCATCTATGATCTGCTAGAGCCATGAAGGGACCAGTCCTGTGGAACCATAGGCACTGGATCTCCATGACTCAGGGCAATAGCAGGATGTCTGAGAGAAGTTTCAGTGAGGATCCGGTATTGATGGTGTACCAGAAACCAGAAGCCAAAGGCCTTGAACCAGACCAACAACTCATTGCAATGAACATTTGCAAGTAAAGCTGTTTGGACAAAAGGGTATACTGCATGACACACACCCAAGCTCCAAAGGCCACTATGACAAATGAATATATGATGGAGAGGCCAGAAAGATGGAGGAGTGATATTTTTGGGAGGATGGAAGGGCGGGGGTGGGGGGGTGGCTATAAGGGTGGAGGGTGGACATGGGAGAACTGGAAATGAGTGGGACTGGGGTACATGATGTGAAATTCCTAAAGAATCAATAAAAAATAACTATGAAGAAAAACAACAAAAAATGAAATGAGATTCATAGGCAAATGAATGGAACTAGAAAATAAAATAATCTTGAGTGAGGTAACTCAGATTCAGAAAGACAAATATGGTATAGATTCTCACTTATATATAGATGTTAAGTCATTGGTAAGCAAGCTACAATCCATATAACCACAGAAGCTAGGTAGAAAGTAAGGGACTAGGGGGAGGGAGGGATCTCCCTAGGAAGGGAAAATCAAATAGACAGTTGTGGATGAAGGGGGGAGGGGGAGGGAGAGCATATGGGAGGGGCAGCTTAAACTAAGGGCCACTTGAAGGAAACCTAACACAGTAGAAGCTTCCTAGAATATAGACATGTATGAAGGTCATCTACGTGAAATTGCCAAATGACCGGGGAGCCAGAGTCCCAGCTGGGCATCTCTCATCACCAAACGAAGCTTCCAGTGCTGGGAATGGGTTACATCTAACTGGTTTCTTGGCCAAAGAGGTCCCATTAGACAGACTGTTGCTGATAGGCTTGGCAAGGCCCTGTTGCTGACGACGACGACACCTGTCCAAGTCACTAAAGTTGAAGAAGTCAAGCCGGTACCTTCCTAAAGCCTTTACCCCTGTGGACTAGTCTTCATGGTACTGGAAGGTACTCAGCACACCACCAAAAGAGGAAGACAAACACCAATCCAGCTACAAACCTTTGGATCTACCACACTGACCTGTCCCCAAGACACGCTGGAGCAATGGTGACACGAAGCTTGGGAAGGTGACCAACCAATACCAGATTCGAGTCAAGGCCCATGCCATAAGATGGAACCCATATAATCTAACACTGCTTTGGTATCCCAAAACCTGAAACTAGACAGGCCAGGGATCTAGGGGGAAACCAAATACTACTGTTCTGCTACAGGAACAGAGCAATGAAATGACGCCTACCAACACTCTGCTATACTCAAAGATCAGTGGTTTATTCGGCCATCATCAGAGAAACTTCCTCCTCTGTAGCAGATGAGAACAAATACAGAGATCCATAGCCAGACAGGGGGTGAGAGACTTTGGAACACTCAACCCAAAAAGGATATCTCTATCAAATCCCTCTCCTTAGGGCTCACAGAACTCAACTG